TTTTATTCCAGAGCCTGTAACAACTGCTCAGACATCACTGTCAACACTAAATAAATATATTTTTAGGAACTTTTCGTTACCCACTTTGGACGCATGAATGTTGTTAGTATGAAACAGAGAATCTCTTTATCTTACTGCCAACCACTCAGTCATTTTAAGGTTTAAGATAGGCTACCTGGGCAGCATTAATTTTCTCCTTAACCTATCTACACCACCTGTGGATTCCTCCTATGCCCTCAGGTCATTAACTGATAATTGAATTACAGAGTCTAGACTCTTCAGATTGCTCTGCAAAAGAAACGAGACCGTGCTGAAAGGCACCAACACAACACAAATGAGACACGGTAAAACAAAAACTCCCTCCCTTGAGAATCAGTTAAAACGCTGCCAACTTCTGCACCAAACCCACCACTCTCCACTTCCATATTCTCTCCTCACCAGCTGCCATCGAGTATCCTCTCTCTCCGCACGTTATGTGCGTCCTACAGGGGCAAAACACTGCGTTGCAACTTCTCTGCGGCTGTTTTTGGCTGTCGGGGTGTTACCTGAGGAGGATTCCAGCTGGGAAAGGCAGCTGAGCCGGGAGGGCGAGCGCTGTCCCCCACACACCTGTGCAAGCGGGGGGTGCTACCAGAGCAGCGGGACAGCAGCGGAAGGGATGCATTTTTAATTATTTTTAACTGAAACTTCCTCTTTCGACCTTCCCTTAGACCAAAGCTTTTCCCCCTGACAGCACGACAGCCCCGGGAGCGCCCCGGGGTCCGGCAGCCCCCGCTGTGCCCCTCACAGGCCCAGCCCGGGCCCTGCCCGGCTGCTGACTCAGCACAAGGCGCGGGGGCCCCTCAGCTCGGCGGGGCCGGCGCGGCCGCCCCTCACAGCGGGACAGCGGCCGCGGCCTGAGGGGAGGCCCGGCCCGGACACCCTACGGGGGGCCCGGCCCCGTCACCCTCCGGTGTTCGCCCCCTCCTCTCTCCCTCTCTCCCCGCAGAGGGAAAGGCACTCTCCGGGCCGGACAAAGCCCCTCACCCTCACGGCTCCCCCCTCACCTTCATGGCCGCTCCCGCCGCTCCAGCGCCGCCGCCGCCCCCGCCCCTCCCGGCCCCGCCGCCCGGCCGCTCGGAGGGCGGGCCCTGTCGCCGCGCCGCACGACCATTGGCCGCCGCGCCGCCGCGCCGCGCGACCATTGGCTGTGCCGCCCCAACGGCAAGCGGGAGCGGCCAATGGGAGGAGAGGACGAGACGGCGATGGGCGGGGCAAAGAAATGCCCCAAGCGGGGCCGGGACAGGACGGAGGGAGCGGGGGAGAACCGACGGTGGGACCGTGGGGTCCGGGGGGCACCGATGGTGTCACTTAGAGTGGGACAGCTCGTGGCTCCGAGGGTGGCACCAAGGTGATCCTGCCCCTCCACTCGGCCCTGGCGAGGCACTCCTGGAGTGCTGTGTCCAGTTCTGGGCTCCTCAGGATGAGACAAGTTTCTGCTGGAAAGGGTCCAGCAGAGGCCACAGAGATGCTGAAGGGACTGGAGCATCTCCCTTATGAGGAGAGACTGGGGAAGCTGGGCCTGGTTAGTCTGGAGAAGGCTGAGGGGGGATCCCAGAAATCCATATAAATACCTCCAAGGGGTGTCAGAGGATGGTGCCAAACCCTTTCCAGTGGTGCCCAGTGACAGGATGAGGAGCAATGGCCATAAACTGAAACACAAGTTCCACCTCAACATGAGGAAGAACTTTCCATGGAGGGTGGCAGAACCCTGGAGCTGCCCAGGGAGGGCACGGATTCTCCCTCTCTGGAGACATTCCAAACCCACTTGGACATGTTCCTGTGTCACCTGCTCCAGGTGACCCTTCCTTGGCAGGGGGGTTGGACTGGATGACATCCAGATGTTCCTTCCAATCCTAACAACCTTCCCCTATCCCAGTTGCTCCAAGCCCTGTCCAACCTGGCCTTGGACACTCCCAGGGATGGGGCAGCCACAGCCTCTCTGGGCAACCTGTGCCAGGGCCTCCCCACCCTCTGAGTAAGGAACTTCCTCCTAACATCTAACCTAAATCCACCTCTTTCAGTTTTATTCTACCAAGCCCTTTGGTGATAATCTTTAAATATGAGAAAAAAAGGTTTATTATTAAAAAATCCACTTCCAGTGAGCTTCTAGATGCCACTATTTTTTTCCCTAGGCTGTGAATGGGATATATATAAAAATAATAACCATAGGCTGTAGGAACAAAAAGCTTTTAACCAGAAGATTACATTAAAGAAACTCCGGCAGTACAAACCCCACCAAGGCTTTGGGAAAGCTTTACATAAGAACATACAGGGCCAAGAGCAAGGCAGGCCTTTGCCAAAAAGAGGAACAGACAAAAGTGACTGAAAATAAAAATGGCCCACAAATCAAATTTACCCCTACAAAGAGTTGGATACAGTCTGCTGATTTCTGCAGAAAGGATCTATTTTTGGAGCAAGTCAGATACAAGAACTGAGTCAAAAAAATCAGTGTGTAATTGCCACGTGAAGGACACAGTCCTGGCAGCTTTAGGAGTAGGAGCAGGTACTTCACACAGTCCAACTTCTGGATTTGCACTGACACCATGTTTTATTTCAAAATCAGGTCACCTTTTTTTGGAAATTCTTATGCTCCTCAACAAGCTTTAGATGTGCTCTGAACTTTTACACATGGCTTAATAAAAATGTCATTTTTTTCCAATAATAGCTTGCAATTTTAGTCAAAGCAACTGAAAAAATAGAAAAGCCTTGTGAATACAATGTTGGAACAAGATATAGCACACTCCCCACATTTCTCATGCAAGAGATTGCTTGAAGACACCTTCAGAAATATCAGTGGAGTTTGGTTTTAAAAACTTCTGTGTCATCTAAACTCTGTCTATTCGGATTCACCTTGAACTACCAAACTATACACATATTTTTGTTAATAATCTTACATTAAAGCATAAGAGCTCCATGCAGTCACTGTAACAGGGTAAAAGCTGCCCCACAGATGATCCAAACCAAGCAAAACCCAACATTTTCCCTTTCTCTCTGTTAAGGACTTGCCAAAAAACAATCCTCCCAAGCACAGATGTTTTAGGGAGTAACGTGGGCCTGACAGAGCTGAGATCTGGTGACTGTGCTGGCAGCTGCACCTGCCACTCCTGCCTTAATTTGGGCAGATCTTGATGAATCATATTCTTAACATGTGATTTGAGATCACTTTTACTGCATTTGCCTAAATTGTAACCACGTCGGTGGTTTTTTAACAAGGATCTTTAACTCCGCCGGCTACTCCGTGGGAGAAAAGGAGCACTTGGAGAGGTTCTATTAATAAAAGACTTGCCCTCACTGAGCCTTCTGGGTCGTGCCAAAGCAGCATTAAAAGATTTCAATCTATTACTGCGAGATGTCCCACTTACTTCTGCCACCAAGTAACAAGTGGTGGTGCCTCGCTGCGGCTCCGTAATCCCCCGTGGTTTTACACATCACCAGAGAGAGAGGTACAGAAGGGATTCCTCCCAGGAATGTTAATTTGGGTTTAATTTAACAATCTGCAAAATTTTATAGTAAAGTTAAAAAAGACAAACTTAATTTCAGGTTGGATGTTAACGCCCATAGGAGGAGTCACAGAATCACAGAATGGTTTGGGTTGGAAGGGACCTTAAAGATCATTTAGTTCCAAACCCCTCTAGTGGGTGGGACACCTTCCACTGTCCCAGGTTGCTCCAAGCCCCATCCAACCTGGCCTTGGACACTTCCAGGGATGGGGCACCCACAGCTTTTCTGGGCAATCTGTGCCAGGGCCTCACCACCCTCACAGGGAAGATTTTTTCCTAACATCTAATCTAACCAAACTCTCTGTCAGTGTGAAGTCATTCCCCTTTGTCCTGTCTCTCCAGGCCTTGTCAAAAGTCTCCATCTTTCTTGTAGCTCCCTTCAGGTACTGGAAGGCCACAATTAGGTCACTCCAGAGCCTTCTTCAGGTTGAACAATCCCAATTCCCTCAGCCTTTCCTCTCAGCAGAGCTGCTCCAGCCCTCTGATCACCTTGGTGGCCTCCTCCGGCCTCGCTGCTGGACACAGCACTGCAGGTGGGGTCTCACAGGAGCAGAGCAGAGAGGCAGAATCCCCCTCTCGACCTGCTGGCTACACTCCTTTGGATGCAACCCAGGATACAACTGGCTTTCTCATTATAGTTTTCACTTTGTCATTATGACATTCACTTCTTCTACCAGAGACACACAGCACTGTGCAACTACCTGTGACAAGGTTTTCAGGCTGCAGAGACTTGGTTCAACAGATTCAGCACAGAAATGGAAGGATCCCCAATCCCAGACAGAGGCCATTTCCTGCTTGAGGAGCTCAGGGATGTTACTCAGGGGCTATTTTAGGTAAGATAAAAGATGACTTTTTCAACTCTGTTACCTAATCTTGAATTTAATGTAACCAACATCATCTCTCACTGCTTATTTGGAATTTGGAGGGCTGGTTTTTAGGCGTTTGAGCTCATTTAAATAGACTTTAAAAGTGTATTTTGAGTGTTCTTTGTACCACGCACTGAAGGATTGTCAGCAGAGTTCACACTTCAGCTTCAGAGCCTTGCACAGAAACATCAGAACCAGATGTTTGCCATTTCCTTTCTCCTCCCAGCTCTGCACAAGCTGCTGCAGGCCAGCCTTTATCTCATCTCCCTCCCCTCCTTGCCCAGCCACGCCACCAGTTCCGTGTTTCCACCCAAAGCCATCGTGCTTTATTTTCAGGAAATGTCAGCAAATTGACCTTTGTAACATAATAGCTGGAGTTACTTCCCCGGTTTTATATTCAGACATAGTTCAGTGAGTTCATTGAGGGCTGGGAAACGATCATTAATTACGCCAGCAGCAACTAACTACAATGTTAAGTTTCTTAAATGTAAATGTATTCTAGAAAATTACTCCCCGCTTGATTTGCCTCCTCCTCCCCCTCTCACCACCCCCAGGCATGAATCAGGAGCAGAGCAACGAAATCCCCAGGGACATGCAGATGTATAATAACATTGAGTTTTGTTTTGCTCTCACTTACAAAAATGAGAACTATTATAATAATTGGAGTATTTTCTTTGGGAATACGATGCCTTAATGAAGTACTTTAAACAACTTATTGAGAAAATAAAAACTTACGTGTGGAAACGTCTTTGTTGCATCACAATTAACTTGCAAATCCAAACGGGGTGAATTCACTCCATGGTGTTCTCCGTCTGTAACATGGAAACACTCCTGTCAGAGCAGAGAGAATATGTATTGGAGAGGCAGGTTCATGTAAATTTTACTGTATAAAAGATGTAACTTTTTACTCCTTGGGGTGCTTGATTTCTGGAAAACTCCACCTTACACCCTGTGTAGAACAAACGATGTTTCTGTTCTAAACTCAGACTCTGTGTCTGTGTTTAGAGAGCTCCTAAAATTGGCAGTAGCCCCACCAAGCCACTGCCTGTGGTCACCTCTGCCTCACCTGGTACAAGCGTGGCCATCTCTGGTAATCACAGAATCACTGAGTCATTACAGCTGGAAAAGACCTCAAAGATCAT